TTCATGGAGTCACCAAATGGGCTGAAACCTCTGAACGTCAGTTAGCAGCAGGGCACGCCATCAGTGTGCTAGTAGGGCTCCTTTGTAGCAGAACAATGTTATTGTGTGTTGTTGAGTCAGTTCTGACTCTTAATGACCCTCTATAGGGTTTCTGAGAGTGGCTGGTGGGTTTGAACCACTGACCTTGCGGTTACCAGTCCAGTGCAGTATATTCGGGGGGTTTCAATTAGCTTATGGAAAAGGGAATTAAAAGATCATGGAATTTCCCATGAACATTTTGAAGTCCCCTTGTATTTGTTGAAACTGAGCACGTACTACGAACATGGGGCGGATGGCTGGACATGATCTTATTCGCACAAAGTTGTGCCTTTTAAAGTATTGCTTCTCAGGATGATCAGGCGCCAGGTTTGCTCCTGATTCTAAAATGTTCAGAAATCTTCAAGTGAAAAGTACATTTCTGCAATGTTGCTCTGAACAACTCATCCAGGGTGTTTTTCTCCCCCTTTCAACAGCATCTGTCCTCTTCTCACATCCTTCCCAGTGCCAACATCTCACATTTGATAATGAAAAAAAGAAAACAAACCAAAAGCCAGTTTTGATCGTTTGCGTTACTGGAAAATGTATGTTCCTTAAATAGTGTTCTAATGTCAGCCAAAAAAAAAAATTAGTAGAGCTGTCTCCAGGGAAGCAGCCTTTGGCTGTGGAAACCTGGAGGAAATCAAGAGTTTTATTTGTGGAAATTGGGACATTGGTACCGTCTACTTAGAGAAACAGGACTTTGGGGGTGGGGTTTTTTCCTCTAACCACCCACCCACACCTTGACACACCAAAAAATTTAATAAAAATCCAAAGACCAAAAACCAAACCTGACTCACGGCCATTGAGCCAATTCCAATTCTCAACACCCTATAGAACAGAGTGGAGGCCTGGCGTGGCGCTGTGGGTTAATGCGCCGGACTGCAAACTCATTTGAACCGCAAAGTTGGTGGTTCAAGCTCACCAGCCGCGCCTTGAAAACCCTATACCTGGTCACTATGGGTTGGAACCAGCTCGATGGCACTTCACAACAACAACAACATAGAACATAGTAGAACTGTTCCAAAAACCTTCCCAGGAGCAGACAGCCTCAGCTGTCTCCTGGTAGGTTTGTAACGCGGACCTTGTGGTTAGCAAGCCCAACACCTAACGCATTGCACTACCAAGATGACTTAAAAGTCCAGAGAAGACATTCCTATTTTATATTATAGGTAATATCCCAAGTTCAAGGGCAGCTTTTCCTAGGAAGTCTATTGATTTCCCCCCATAGTTTCTCTTCTGACAATCCTGCCAAGTGGGGATTTCTCAGGTCCATTTTAGAGATGAAAGCACAGAGGTCCAGAGAGCTGAAGAACTGGTCTGAGGTCAGCCGGCTTGTGTGTAGCAGATGCAGGACGGGAGTCTCAAACTGTCTGTCCCGACACCATCTTCCCTCCATCCTTCTGCTTGGTCCTGAACGCCTCTACCTCTCAGCATCCCTCTTTGCCACTAGGATTTACATTCTGTTCCAAACGATTCCCAGAGGGAAGTGGCAACAGATTGTGAGAGTTTAGCAGGCAAAACAACCGAGCAGATAGGCAAAGACAATTGGTATTTATTTCTAAGGCAGTCCTGGTGTGGCACTATAGGGTAAGCACTTGACTGCTAACCACAAGGTTGGTGGTTCAAACCCACCAGTCGTTCCTTGGAAACCCTATACAGGGTTGCGTTAAGAACTGACTCCATGGAACTTAACAACAAGGCACACAGGAGGCCCTGACTCTCTTAAACACACACTATTTAAGAAGTGGATCTTTTCTAGTAGGGCTCCTGGTGTGGCACTGTAGAATAAACACTAGAGTGCTGCTAACTGCGAGGTTGGTGGTTCAAATCCACCAGCTGCTCCTCAGAAACCCTATACAGGGTCATTGCGTTGGGAGCTACACGGGGGCATTTAACAACATCAACAATTTTTCAATTAAGTCTGTGGCTTCATGAATATGAAGAGTTACTGTTTCATGAAACTGAAAACTAATTTTTTTCTTCATGCATGGGTCTCTTGGTGCTTCAGTGGTAGAATTCTCACCTTCCATGTGGGAGACTCAGGTTTGAGCCCAGGCCAGTGCACTTCATGTATATCCACCACCTGGCTTTTCAGCGGAGCTGCGAGACTAAGACAGACCACAAAGAAAGGTATGGCAACCTCCTTCCAAAGAAATCAGTCCGTGAACACTTACGGCTTCCAAGCAATGACGGAGATGGTACAGGATCAGGCTGTGTTTCATTCCAGTGCGCATGGGGTCACCATGAGTCAGGCCGGCTCAACAACATCACACCAACAACTCACATTGCAGCAAACATTTATTGAGCACTTTCTAGGCAACGGGACTCCTGGTGTGGCGTTGTAGGATCGGCACTGGACTGCGAACCACAAAGTTAGCAGGTCAAACCCACCAGCTGCTCCTTGGAAACCCCATACAGGGTCGCTATGAGTCTTAACAGAACTTGGCAACAGCTCTACGATGCGCTGTGGTGAGACAGACAAGCTGCTTTCGAGGTGTTGTGGAGGAGCTGGCGCTAACGGAGGGGTGTGATCCACTAGCAAAAGCACTGGAGGCAGAAACATATGGACAGGATGCTGCCAAATGCCTCAACCAGCCACCAGGTGCTGTCGGAGATTGTGTCTCCAAGGCCCAGCTTTCATCTTATCCCATCTCACCTGCATGGTTGAAATCGGGAGGATTTCTGCCCTCCCTCCTGTGACCTAGGCTCCCTTCTCCCCACCAGTCTGACCCCTGCTTAAATCCTCCAAAGTCTCTGCCCTAATCACAAAGTTCACATTCCTGGGTCAGGTCACACCACAGAGCGCTGGGCCTCTTGTTCCTGGGTACAATCTGGGTTTTGTTCACTGTCTGGTCCAAGTGCTTAGTGTCCGGGCCAGGCCATGGTAGCATTCAATCAGTGTTTTGTTGGATGAATAAATGAGGCTGGGGGTCTTTATGCCCTAGTGCAGCCTTGTGACATCATAATGCAGGCCCCACCCCCACCCCCCCAGAGATGCTGTGTTCCATCTCGGGTTATTTCAGCTGAGACCCGCTCGAATCTCTCAAAACCAAACCCAAATAGATGCCTTGGAGTTGATTCTAAATCTTGGTGGCCCCATGTGTGTTTGAGTAGAACTGTGCTTTACAGGGGTTTGATGGCTGATTTATTTTTTTAAAATGTTTTATTGTGAATTATGTGATAGTTTACATGGGAGAACATTAGTTTTACATTCATCCTGTTGTATAGCGTTTCATTACAACAGCTGATTTTTGAGACATAGATACTCTGGCCTTTCGTGGATTTGAACTGCCAGTCTTTCCGGTTAACAGTTGAAAACGTTAAGTGTTTACAACATCCCTTAACTCCACAACCTCTTAGCTGGACTTGATTTGAAATCTATAATGGTTTTTATATACTGGTGAGTGCTGGGACTTTAAGATGTTTTAATGTTCTACAAACAATTGTTAGGTGCAGTGGAGTTGGTTCCAACTCATAGTGATCCTGTATAGGGTTTCTAAGGAGTGGCTGGCAGGTTAGAACCACTGATCTTGCAGTTAGCAATCCAGTGCTTATCCTACAGCACCACAACATGACAATAGTCAAGTACAAAGGCCCAACACCAACTTGGTAAGTGTTTGGTCCATAGTACATGCCCTTGACCACTTACGTTTGGCATTGACATGGGTGGGTTTTGTCTTACCCTGTGTCCTTGGGCTTTAGGGTCCATCTAAACATAGCCCCTGCCCTGGTGGCTTACAAGGTCACTCTGAAGCCCAGATGAGTGCTGGCTATGGGTAGGTTTTGCTGATGCTAAAGAGCTAAAGAGCTATGGTCCTAAGTAGTTACAGCAGCCATGAGAGCCCAGAGGTCCCTCTCCCCCCCACCCCCCCACGGTCTTCAGTTCCTTCCTGGAAGTGTCTAGCAACGTACATTAGACCATCTTTCTGGGTCTGGGATGCAAAGGTGGAAGGCTATCACTACCCATGCTTTCTGCTGACATTAGCAATTCTTTGAACAGAGGGATAGCATGACCCCTCGGGCTGATGTCTTCAGTCCTCACAAGGGAGGGCTGCTGGAGTCCCTGGTCTCTGAGATTCTCTGAATCTAAGACAAGCCAGTTTTAAACAATGGCAAAGATCCTAGCAGAGCTGGGAAACTTCTAGAAAACCAGTCTCCGGAAACTCCCGGGAAGCTGTGTCTTCAGGCAGAGTACTTCTTCCCCCAAGAGAAAAAGAGTACTGTTAATTCATGAAAGACAAATGGCCGTTCTTGGAAGCTACACACCCCTCGTTCTCAGCCAGACCTCCAGCCCCAGGAGGCTGGACACACTGAAGAAAGGAGGTGCCTCATGTTGTTACGGCAGCTCAGCAGCACGCACTGACCCCTTGCAAATACCCAAACACTTTTGACCACTTTCCCAGGCGTTGACTTGGGCCTAGGACCATGGGGTCTACTGCTGGTCAATTTGGTCTCTGCCTTCTGCATGCAGGGTACCCATTCATCTCTTCATTCAATATTGAGATTTCCCTCTGTGTCAGGGCCTGTGCGCTAAGTGCTTGGAGAGAGAAATGCGTAAGACACGGTCTTTGTTCTTGGGTACTTCATGGTTTATTGGGGGGAAAACCATTGAGTAAACATAATTATAATGCAGTGTGGAAAACAGTTGGAATAACAGGGCTCATGGGATCGCATGAGGTGGTACCAAATATTATGGGAACTGAACAAGACAGGCCTTCAGCTTGGCCTAGGGATGCCGAAGGAGGTTTTCTTGGGTGGTCAGAAGGGAGTGGAAGGAAACCAGGGGAAGGTGACATGCAGGGAAAAAGGGAGGGGAAGAATGTTTTCAAGACAACAAAATGAACGAAGTCCAGGAGGTGACCGGGGGTGGTAGAGCCCGCGGCAGCTTAGCTTCGTTAGATCAGAAAGTCAAAACAGGACAGATGGACGAGAAGGTGGCTCAGGGACTGGTCACAGAGGACTTTGTGTGCCAACAGACACTGAAGGGAAAAGAGGCGATGTCGATATGCTATGTGAGGTCAGCCTCACACTCAGTGTGGACGCAGACTTGTGTTCTGTGTTGAAGACCACCTACAATTCACTCCATCCTGGTGGAAAGGAAACAACTTTCTTTAGCTGGGGATGTCTACCATCTAGTCCACAGTTGATGCTCAATCAGTGCTGATCATGGTCTCTCAGTGCAGGGGAGTCCATTATGCCAAAAGAGGTAGTCTTCACACACCTTTGGATCAGGAAAAACGGCCTCTGTCCACAGTCCACAGCATGCTTGGTTGCTCAACAAACCTGTAAGACGAATTCACCTTTCCCCCACAGCAATTATGAAAACAGAAGTTGAAGTGTAAAATCAACTTGACACTTGATTTGTAAAGTTGAGGGAATATGGTGCCTGGTGAGGTCCAGCTTGGCTCTGCAAGACCCCGATGCAGACAGACCGCTCTGGGGGTGTGGCAGAACCTGGAGCCTCAAGTCAAGGAGAGGCGACTCCACCTCAAGTCCTGGACCCCAGACTCACCCACCCCAGTGTGATGCTCACACAACCAGAAGCCCAACAGCACCGAGGGCAGGTGGCTGACTAGTTTTCTGTCTGATTTCAAAAGCCTGTGTTCATTCTGGGAAACCAGGGGGAACAAGAAACAAGGAGACAGAAAAGTCAGCCAGAACTCCACTCCTGCTCATCACCTGCCTTCCCCAGGTGGGGAAGTAGGGGTGGGAGACACTGTCAGCCTGTCTCTGGGGGCCTAAAGATGGCAGTGCACAAGCAGGTCTTCCACCAGGGGCCATTTCCCCTCCCCCCTGCCCAAATGGCCGCCCCGTAGAGGCTCCTGACATAGGTTAACTTCAATGTCAGTTCTTAGGGATCTTCCTTTCACCTTGCACCCCTGTCCCAAACTCACCACCACCACTTGCTATGGCGTCCACCCCATGTGTGTCTGAGTAGAAATGTGTTCCACAGGGTTTTCAGTGACTGATTTTTCTTAAGTGGATCACCAGGTCTTTCTTCCAAGGCACCTCTGGGTGGCTGTGAACCTCCAACCTTTTGCTTACCAGTTGAGTTCCTTCACTGTTTGTATTCCTTCTCTCTCACCCCAGCTAGTTACCCCAAATGGATTTTTTCCTTTTTGAAACTCACTTTGACCTGTAATTCGCTTGTTTCTTTGTTTACTGGCTACTATACCCTCCGTCCCAGGAGAGATGGTGGCCTGCAGGTAGAGTCACCCTTCTTCCTGACCTTCAAGGACACAACCCAGCACCCTTGGGCTCCCTAATTACCTGCTCATTAAACACAGATGAGACCACCTTGGGCTTCCATCTAAGGACAGGCCACGATGGGCACCCTCTCACATGTTCAAAGGTTTCAGTGAGACCTGCCTTTTTATATTTCTCCTTTTATAATATTCTATTGTTGTTGTTAATCGCCTTCGAGTTGATTCCAACCCATAGCGACCCTGTATAGGGTTTCCAATGAGCAGCTGGTGAGCTTGAACCACCAATCTTGCAGTTCAAACCACCTTGCAGATTGACGCATTAGCCCACAGCGCCACACCAGGGCTCCAATACTCTATACCTGAGGCCATTTTAATGTGGCTTCAAGTGTCCTGGAAAGGGACCAAGTCCTAAGCTGGGGGCTGGGACTCATTCCACCGCCTTGGGCAAATTCCACCACTCCAGAGCCTGGCTTTTCTGTGTGTAAAACCGATAAAAGGTTTTTTGCCAGCTCTGAGTGGTGGGCCCCAACTATGATAAGATCCAGAAATGCTCAAGAGGTAAAAGAAACGGTGCAGAGAGCGAGAAAGACCCTAAACCCAGAAAATCCCAGTGAGGTCTCCGGAAGGAAGACCCAGAGGCCTAGGAGCCCCGGGGCTACCCGGCTCCGGGGAGGGTGCTGCTCCCTCCTCCTCAGGACCTGGGGACACATTTTTGGGGTTCCCAACATCAAAACCGGGAAATGAGGCCTTTCTATCCACAGTCTCTAATCTGGAAACAAACGGGAGACTCCCCCCAACTCTAAGCCAACTTCTTGCCGGTCCCACGGTGTCCCCGGATGGGCAGGGGGAGCGGCGTGGGACCCTAACTATCTGACGTGCGCAGTCTCAGGGAGAAGTGTGTGTGTGTGGGGGGGGTCGTAAACACGGACAGAGGGCATAGGGGGACCAGGGAAAGGACCCCGTCCCCGCGGGCTCACCCCCAGGTTGCGTCACCCGGCCCACCGCCCCCTGAGACATCACAATCTGGGGGCCGGGTCCCTGCGTCTCAATCACCGCCCTTTTGCCACCAAACAATCCAACCAACACACACCCCGAGCCAAAATAAAACAAAAATTAAAAGGAAGCGCCAGAGCCCGCCTCCCGCCGCCCCGCCCCTCGCCCCCC